CTACTCGCCCTTGTGATGTGGGCGCGGGGTTTAATGCGACGGGTGAGACCCCGGCCACTCGCCCTTGTGATGTGGGCGCGGGGTTTAATGCGGCGGGTGAGACCCCGGCTACTCGCCCTTGTGATGTGGGCGCGGGGTTTAATGCGGCGGGTGAGGCCTGACAGCGCGGTTTGCATGCAAGGGTCTCACGGTTACCTGCCCTACCTTCACCTACAGGGCTGACAGGAACATCTGCAGTAACCACTCTCGGCCTCAGGGTGCCGCTTCACACCCAAGGACCTCTTGAAAGCAGGGGTGTCCTGATGCCTCCACAACCTTTAATCACTGCCCTTCCCCCCAACTGCGGATGGCGTATTAGTGTGCATCGACACTCAGAGTGGGTCACACCCCCTTCCCCCTTGTATCTTTCACCCAGGTTGCATAAGCACTAATCAAGAAGGCCTGCAGCTCCACGCCAGCATTCCGACAGTCCCGGGAACCTGGGCGGGGCACAGGGAGAGAGACGACACAGAGCCACGCCCACTCGCACGCCTGGCAGGCCCGTGACCGCGGACAGCGACCGGCGCTCCAAATACAGAGACGCGGCGCTGCTCGCTGAGCAACAAAACAGCTGATGATAAGTTTAAAAAAACTTCTCAGATGTGTTAGATGAATATGTCTTCTCAGCCATACGATGCAGACGTCAAAAATACACCAAAAACTAATTTTCTCTCCTGGTACTGGCGATGGTGCATAAACTGTGTCAAGGTGCTTTATTCCAGAAATGCGCAGACAAGAACCTTCAAAAGGAAGAGAAATGTTTTTTTTTTTCCTGTTTATAGCAATACATCAATGCAAATGTAGACTGTAATTACAACAAATCTGCTCCTATCTGCAGTCATCCCTTAATTTTACATGAAATATTTTAACTTTGATCAGCACAACCGAATGCTGGAATTTGCCTTTCTCTGTCTGTCTGTCTGTCTGTCTCCCCCCATCTCCCTCTCTCCTCCATACCTTCTGTCCGGACGTTGTCTGCAATCACTGAACATATGATGAGTTGGCTTTTGCACCTGAAAGTCATCAGCGAGCCCCAGAAGCCCCTTAAATCTCGGCTGACAGCAGACCCCCAACACGGAGTGCATGACGGACATGATTCGGTGGGAGGGGCTTGGCTGCTGGATGTGATTCGGTGGGAGGGGCTTGGCTGCCGGACGTGATTCGGTGGGAGGGGCTTGGCTGCCGGATATGATTCGGTGGGAGGGGCTTGGCTGCCGGACGTGATTCGGTGGGAGGGGCTTGGGTACCATTACGTCATTAAACAGCAAAAAATGAGCAAAAGGGTCATAAGATTAGAAATAAGAAGATGCGGCTCAGTGCACCTGTGTCCCAGTGTGGATACTGGGAGACACTGGGACAGACTGGGAGAGACTGGGAGTGACACTACACGAAGGGTCTTAGTAAGGCATTTTACAGCTGCTAAGAAAACTCCTCTCTACTCAGCTGCCATTTGAAGGCACAAACTCCTCTTACAGGGGCTCCAGAGGTCAACAAGGGCGAGAGATTTACAGGGCACGGGCTGAACCTGCTGTGGGTCGAAAGCTCTCTCCGCGGGGGCACCTTTGGCATTTCCAGCACACCGTCTGCTAGGGGAGGCCGCTGTTGCTAAGCAACGATGGAGTTCGTCACAAATAATGACACCGGACAGGTCTGCAGGAATGATGGCCACAAATGAGAGACTTGGCTGGGGGGAGGGAGCTGCATCTGGCGGCACACAGGGCCCCGGCAGACTGCTGCCGTTCGTGTGTTTGTGTTTCCCGCCTCGCTCATTACCGAGGCTGCTATGCGAGGCGTGATCATTTTCTGTCCGTTCTTCACATCTCCTGAATGGAACAATAGGTGTGTCGGACCGTCCCGAGTCGGACTGGGAGAGGCGTCTGGACTCCAAAGCAGGTGACCGTCGCGATGGCTGACCTTTTCTGCGAGCACGACCAGCCTCTTGAAAACGGTTCTTTGTGGAGATAAATTTGAGCTTCAGTGCAATTATGGATGCCATTGCGATAACTCATTCTCCTCCACTGTCCCATTCATATTCCCGACAATAACTGCGAATATAATGCAATACTGAGCAAAGGGAGAGTGAACAGGAAATATAGCGGCATTCTGCTCAGAATTAACGGGACCAGCGTCCCTCAGAGAGGGACAGAGAGATAGTGCCAGCATCTCCACATTCTTTGCTGTGACTAAACATTGTTTGTGGGAGAAAGTCTCAACTCAGTTAAAAAAATTAGAGCAAGGATGGGGATTGATTATTATTTTAAGATCATTAAGTGTTTAGTCAAGTGCCTGCGCAGTACCTCATCACAGCTGGCTGATATCTTCATAATCTCCACAAGTCACGCAAAGGATTCTGGGTAGCAGTATACAATTTGAATGTTTGTCTAGAATATTGCTTGTTCAAAGCTCAGGTAGCCTCATGTTGGTGAGGAGAGAAGAGGATTTAACTGACCAGATTGTCCATCCATCCATCCATCCATTTTCTTTAACCGCTTGTTCTACTCGGGGTTGCGGGGGTTTGGAGCCTATCCTGGAGGCTACAGGTGCAAGGTAGGGAACAGCCCAGGGTGGGGCGCCAACCCAACCAGGTACTGTAAAAAATACCCAACTGCTTTCTGAGTTATACGTCACTCTGTATGAACGCGTCTGCTACAAGAATAAATGTAAAATGATATCATCTTAGAAGAAGACTGTATACTGAACAATGCATGTATCAACACATGACATCTTAATTAAAACATTCACGACTAACAACATTCGTATAACAAATGGAAGAATCTGGTGTCCTGCTTAACAGAATGTGATCTGCAAAATTAAAAAGTTAACTTGCAGCAGGGAATCCAAAAATTGATGCATTTTCCATCTGTGCTCTAGGAAATGAATACAGAAAGCACACTGGCCAATGAGAGCGTGCGATGCATTGTGTTATAACACACTGACCAATGAGAGCGTGCAATGCATTGTGTTATGGCACCTGAACACCGAATGGCCCCATTAAGATATTCTTACGTGGGTATTCTGAGCGTTGAGTAAGATCACTGATTATTACTGATGAATACCACTGATTGCTGAATATGAGGCAATCACAACTCTGCAGACCAAATTTCCGAAGACCATAGATGTGTCATTAATTCCACAGTAAAAAATAAAGAATAATTAATGGAAATCTGGTTAGCCGTATTAGAACTTAAAATGCAGGCGAGGAGCTAAAGTCTGCCCCTCCCCAGCCTGCCCCCCCCCCAAAATGTCCTCCTGTGTCTGCTCACAATGTGACGCCCCACATCTTCATACGCTCCCTCAGCATTCCCGTCCTTAAAAGCCATCTGCTTCCATGTTATTGTCTTCCTAGATAAAGCTCCATACGTTTTCAGCACAATGTTTTTCAAGTGATATAAAACTGAACACAGAGGCGTTCCTTTATGGTAATGAAGACCCCCCCACCCCAGGAAGAAACAGGATTTTTCCATCTGATTTGTTCCCTTATTCCCACAAAGGAAATATGAATGTGGTGAAGGAGTAAAGTGGCAAACTCCTTTAACGCAAGCGTCCGCTTTCTAACGATGGTGGGCTGTGTCCCTTAGCTACACAGTGGCCCTTTAGCCAAGTAGTGGCCCTTTAGCTACACAGTGGCCCCTTAGCTACGTAGTGGCCCCTTTAGATACATAGTGGTCCCTTAGCTACGTAGTGGCCCCTTAGCTACACAGTGGCCCTTTAGCTACACAGTGGCCCCTTAGCTACGTAGTGGCCCCTTTAGATAC